AACATCCGACAGTTAGAATAAAGAAAACACCTGGTAAACACCCACTTCAACTTGGTCCAGATCGCACTTACATTCGTCACTTGCGGCGTGTTATTGGGAGCGAACGATGTGGTCGACGAGAAGCTCCGGCGCTTGCTCACAGTTGGTCGCGAGCCCGTGATCTCGAGCGTAGCGTCGTCGTCCAGGCAGTCCATACAGTACCATTGCGGACGTGTGCGCTCGGGTTTCTTGCGGTCGATGGCCTTGCGCCCGCACTCCTTACACACTGCGATGTGGCAGCTACGGCAGTGGTGGCGACGCCGCAGGATGTTGAACGACTTGGTGCACACGCCGCACTCGGGCTCGCGCGCGAACACGTCGTCCGGTGCCATGCTGAGCTTACTGCCGAGCGACGCGCGCGAGCGCGACGTGGTGGGCGTCGCGGCTGCTGCAGCAGCGGCGCGGCCCAAGCCGTCGGCGTTCGTGGGCGAGACCAGACCTTGGTCCATGAGCTCGTTGATGCGGCTTCTTATCTGACTCTGGAGCGGCGTTCTCCCTCGGGATGTATGGATTCTCGCAGGTTTTGTATACGTTTTCAGACGTTTGACGCATGTCGCAGGATTCACAGAGTGCACTTGTCCAACGTAGGCAAACCCATGATGACGGCACTTTTGTATTGCCCTGTACGTGTACTGGACGCTTCCAACGGGATGCTGGGGCGGAACTGCCCTGTTGGCAAGTAAGAGCGGACTTCAATTGCGCTGGAGCTCGTGGCGTAAGCGCGCAGAGCAATCGTTTGAGCTGCAGCGAGAATCTCACTGAAACGTCGCTGTTTCTGCCAACTTGCTGGGCAAAATCCTGCTGCGACAAGAGGACTGCAGCGAGCTGCATTATATCCACCACTAGCAGCATGCTGGTTGCCGGCAGCTAGGTGAAAGACGTCGCCGCCCTGGCGTCGAGTTGTTGATCACAGCACTTTCTTCGTGCTGTGCTTGGCCGCACACTGGCGACTTCAATGCTCTCTGGGCGTGAAATGCGCGATGCTACGGTCTAACACGCTGTAAGAATGATGTTAAGTGAGGAAACAAATGGCTGTAATTGCTTTTTAACTAGTTCGTGTTTAAAGTCATCGAGAGATATCGCGGTGGTGAGATACTGCCGGCTGGTTCGAGCTCTATCTAAACCAATCTCTTATCCCAGCAAACGCCCCCGAGCTCTACCTACAATGTCAGCGTGGCCAACTTGTCCATTGCAGTGCAGCAGCCAACCACTCGTGGGGCCGATTGGCAACCAGTCCGACGCCTTAGTCGACACCCTGCACGGTCCGCCCTGATGGGCGACCGTCGCAGCCTTTGGAGACGGGGACGCCCCACGACGCGAAATGTGAGCGAGACCACGCATGCAGCCAAACGAGAGGGCACTATTTCGTCCGAGCCACCACCAGCGATATCCTTCGGAACGTCGTAAAAGACAACTTCAACAAGATGTTGTCAATCACCTTAGGCAGGTAAACCCGTGATTCTCACTAGCAACTTTAGCAGGAAATGCATTGCGTCTGGAAACGCAGCAAAGCAGCGGACAGAAAGAGCCCAGTCACTTTCGCTTGCCAAGATGTTGCTCACGTTCCTCGAGAAGCTGCCACTGGGCCAGGGTGGCAAGGTGTTCGTCGGCACGTCCATCTGCCTGGCTATCTGCGCGTACCCCGTCATCCGAAAGCGTGCGTTGTGGGTTCTATTGTCTTTGTCATTCACCAGTAACTGATGTCAAGGCGTCTCTCTTTCTGTAGAACAAAAGGCCGGCCACGACCTCTTCTCGTCCGAGCGACCGCAGGATATCGTGGACCAGGAGGTCAAGGCCCGCCGCGAGAAGCTCAATATCAAGTAGAGCGTTCAGTACTCGCGTCGATGACACAACGCAGCACAGTGCAATGTCGATCAATTCTTTTTTATCTGGGGCTAATGATTTACTCGAACTGTTGAATGCTCGGCTGGTACTTGTAAACTCACCGTGTCAATTCATGCAATGTTACAAGCCGTACGTTGCGTTCGATGATGAAGGTGATCTTAGCTCGATATCTCAAGTTCTAGCACGTTGTTTACACAATATAAAGCTGCAAAACAATGGTACCGCATACAGCTGAAACCACGCAGTGACAACACGACGCCTCGGAGAATGTGCTCAGGTTGTTGTACTATGGCACTAGCATCTTGAACATTAGCAGTCGCAGAAGGCGTCCACTGTGATTTCATTTGGGCAGCTAGCCACTTGCTGCAAGCAGTGGAAGTATGCCCGTGTTTTTTCGCGTGGTAGCTAGGTGCAGACATGGTCGCGTTTTAGAACACCCATGCTGTGGTGATAGCCACGTAGAGAGAAAGCAGTAGCTTTTTGCACTTCAAAGTGCATAGCATAACCTTATTTTGGACGTCCAGCGTCACTAACTACCCTCCAGCTTGACACCTGCATTGAACTCAAAAGAATAAATGAGTTGTTGGGTCGGCATTTGGCTCCAGAGACCTTGGTAAGTTCAGGTTTGAAGCCACCACAGATACTCATCCTGCCAGTCATCATCACTATCTTCATCCTGCCAGTCTGCCCTTGCTGGAGCTGGTATACCAGTCGCCGCAGCATTTGTCGACTGGGGTCGTGCGACGGCAGATCGTGCATGTACGCGTTGATTTCGACGCTCTTCACGGCCTCTACGACGCGAGCTCGTACTACTGGACGACTGTCGATCGCTAGCAAGCTCTGCCGACTCCGTCGATTACTTCACTTCTGCCTCAGCTTGGGTCAGAAGAGAGCGTTGTTTCCGATACAGCTCAACCAGATTTGACATATCGCGGCTCGCATGAGTCCGTACCCCAGGAGTGCGACACACAGGACATCGCGGGTTCCATCTGAGGACTTCAGTTAGTGCTTCCGACGAGAAGGTTTTGCCACAGCACGCGGTCACTACTGGATTCTCGAACAGCTCGTACGAGATCGGACACGTTAGTGCTGCCTCTTGTTCATCTAGAATCCGGCGGTTGCTGTCCCGAAAATTCGCCAGATCATTGCTTGCTTGATTAAGAGCGCGCTGTAGCGCGGGAACCTGCTGCCCTTCTCCTGGATTTCGACTCGACTTTTGATCTGGTGACGTTGTAGTCGAGTCTTCAGTAAGGTCGATGAGCTCATTGGAGCTGTCACGGCCCAGTTCTTGGTCATGAGCGCCTACGTCGCCAGGAGCATCCATCTGAACGGTAAGATCAATCATCGGTTGCTCTGCAGGAGCCTCCAACGGACGCTCGTCGTGCATGATGTTAGGCCGATCGATCACCTGGAATCAGAATGGTGGGAAATGACATAGTACGGAAATGTAGCCATCTTTAAATTGACGATTCGGAAAACATCTAAAAATTGACCTTTCCTTCGAAGTTTGGAACTTAAAAAGTCAGCCCCTCGTGTCAAGGCGCTGCTTCCGATTGAGCTCGTGTTCGAGTCTGGAGATAATATCGTGCTCCGTCACACGACAGTTAGCTGCAGCAGGAGTTTAGTGGACGCAACGGTCTGTTGAAGTTGCAGAATCTCACTGGGACGAGTGCAGCACAGACAATACTGCAGTTAGTATAGGACAGCTTAACCAGAGGGGGGTTGTCACC